TAAACGTTGAAAAAACGTAATTTACTAGTTGTTACCAATTGAAACATTTTTTTAAGTTGGTTCAACTAAATTCTTTTTACAGTGTATAAAGAACAGGAAGGAGGGGAGTGTCCTATCAGCCAGCTTCCGGTCTAGGGTCCAGCCTTTTCCTCCGTCTGCCAGACTCCTGATGGAGTGAGGTTGAAAAGTGCAGAAGTCAGCAGGCCAAGACTAGGGGGGTGAAATCCAAACAGGAGAATCTGTTGTCCAGTTGCTGGCACAAGAAGACACCTAAAATAAAATAAGAAGGACTGGCCTCCCACTTAGAGGTTAGCTAGGTCATAAAACACATGGTTTTAGAATGTCACGTATTTATAAATACAACACTGCCTCCCTCTCTTTTCAGTCTATGGTGGTCTTCCCCTCCACCTCCCCCACCCACACTCCCCTCTGACACGCTATATTGGACGAGGCGGGCCAGAGTGATACCTTCCCATTAAAAAGATCCGCATGTTTTCCACATGTACCGTGTCTCTCCCATGTTTGTTGAAATATGTGTCTGTTTGGCTCTCTGCTGTTGAATAACTGTCATAAGGAGCGCGGAAAATTAGAGTACGCGGCCGGCCTTGATGTTTATTCATCGAACTGAATTTCTCCATCTGTGTGAGATAATAAAGGATTGATTGATTGATTGGTAATAAAAGAAAATACCCCCAACTTCAGACAATGCATAAATTGTCTTGCTAAAAGTATTTGTATGGAATGTTTTAGATCTGCTAAAACATTCCATACAAATACTAAAATACAAAATAAAAACCGCACTTCTTTCAGAGTCGAGAATATGTGTTGCCATTACATCATAAACTCATTTTCTTTTGTAGAATAAAATACACATCGCATACAGTCACCTAGTGCTCCTTTCCCCAGGAAATAAGTTTTCTCTTTAAATTGCACAAAAACTAACGCCCTCATCTTCAAAATTTGAATTGCAAAATGGCACAACTTGTAATTCCTTGTTAGTATAGCATCCACAACAGTTCAAGGACTTTGAAAAGTTAGCCTGCACGTCATTTGTGGAAGGTCGTGTCCACCTGGTCACATGCGGCCTGTCCGGCTGGATTCTGCAGCCATGTGTCAGAGGTGCTGTGTCCTTGACTGGGAGCCCATTTCTCCTCCGTCTGCAGCACTTTATCCACACCTCATACTGTATATACACTCCACAAGATGCACTATTGACATACTGTATATAGGGTATGGAATGCACAAAAAAACTTATATTGCCATTTTCTCAATGTAGAACCAAAGACTTGGGGTTGGCCCATTATTAAATGGGCAGATTATTGGCACTAACACTGACCAATATTATGTCACAAAGAGGGATACAATTGTGACTGTACCAGGTAGTATATAAACATAATAAAATCTTCATTACTGTGCAGAACATAAAAATTATGATGGTGATGAGAATATTAGACAATATAATTTACAGCTGTTGTCGTTGTTGTTGTTGCTGAAATAGTTACTGAGTGTTACTGAACAGGCAGCCAAAGTGCATGTATGTGTATGTAGATGGGGTGAGAGTTCATGAATGTGACTTCTTTTCACTCCATTTCAGCTCTCCATAGAGGTGAAGAGGAAATGTGTATCTATGTGTTTATGCCATACAACTGAATCCTGTATGAACCTGATAGATAGATAGATAAAACCTGATAGATAGATGAACATTTTTGATATAGGTAGATTTTTGCCCAAATGTATATTACATTTTTGGTCTGGTCCAGTCAACTGGTCGGAGAAATTGCTTTTTGTCATCTCCATCATGGTTTTTCATTTTTTGCATTTGAGCCTATATTTATTCATGGTTTGTTTGTAGGCAAACATGATTTAAATCCCAGCTCCTTCAGTGAATAAAACCGAGGCAGTGCCACAAGGGAATTCTGGCGATGAGACATGGCATCTGAAAAAAGAATTTTATATTTATCCTTTATAAGCATGTTGGAACACTGGCAGCACAAGTTTAATCAATATTGTATAGTTCTCTTTTAAAACCCAGTTCCAGCACAGGCCCTGGCTCTGCAATATAGTGTTTACTATTACCTCAGAGAGATTCTTTATCTTTGACTCACGCCTCACACATAGGGTCAGAATTTAGATTCTCTCACTTCTGGGGTTTGTACTTGTGTACTAAAGATAAGAACAGATTTTCTATGATAATTATAGTTTAAAATGAGATACAATGTTGATTTTTCATTCAGTAATATCTGAATATATAATAATGTATAATAATATATATAATATGATATTTTGTTTGTTTGATTGTCCCACTCCCCCCTGGACTGCCACCTTAAGGTGGTGGGGGAGTTTGAGTACTCAGATGATCCTGGGAGCTATGTTGTCTGGGGCTTCATGCTCCTGGTAGGGTCTCCCATGGCAGATAGGTCTCGGAATGACGAGTCAGACGAAGTGCAGTCCGAAGACACCATGGACAGCACAAATACAAGAACCGTGACGTCGCCCGCCATGGCGCAGCCGGGGTCCCACCCTGGAGCCAGGCCTGGGGTCAGGGCTCAAAAGCAAGCGCCTGGTTGCCATAGCCCACGGGGCCCGGCCGGGCTCAGCCTGAAAGGACGACATGGTCAAACCCTCCTGTGGACCCACCACGCGCAGAGGGATCCATGGTGGCATGGAGCAGCGAGGACTGGGCAGCAGTCGAAGGCGGAGACCTCGGCGACCCAGTCCGCACACCCAACATCTGGCTCTTGGGACGTGGAACGTCACCTCACTGGGGGGGAAGGAGCCCAAGCTCAATCAATCAATCGATCAATCACTTTATTTATCCCCAAGGGGCAAATAAAAAGCATGGAGAGTTGCAAGTTACAACTCGTGGGGGAGGTTGAGAGATACTGACTAGAGATAGTTGGCTTCACCTCCACACACAGTTTGGGCTCTGGAACCCAACCCCTTTAGAGGGGTTGGACGCTCCACTTTTCTGGTGTTTCCCGCGGGGAGAGGCGGCGAGCTGGGGTGGCCATACTCATTGCCCCCCATCTCAGCCGCCATGTGTTGGAGTTCTCCCCGGTGAATGAGAGGGTCGCGTCCCTCCGCCTCCGGGTGGGGGACAAGTCTCTCACGGGCCTAACAGCATTGCAGAGTACCCGGCCTTCTGGAGTCCTTCCGAGGTGTGCTGGACAGTGCACCGCCCGGGGACTTCGTTATTCTAGTGACACTTGGAGAGGGGTGATTGGGAAGAACGGTCCCCCTGATCTGAACCCGAGCAGTGTTCAGTTGTTGGACTTCTGTGCTAGTCACAGTTTGTCCATCAGCAGCTGTCCAGTACCGGTAGACCAAGCGTGCCGCGGCCCGGGCTGTTGCAGAGGCAAAAACCCGGGACTAGGAGAAGTTTGGAGAGTCCATGGAGCATGACAATCGGTCGGCCTCGACGAGGCAAACCGTCTGGCGCCTCAGGAGAAGGAAGCAGTTCTTTGCTAACACCATTTACGGTGAGGGTGGAGAGCTGCTGACCTCGACTGGGGATATTGTTGGGCGGTGGAAGGAATACTTTGAGGTTCTCCTCAAGACGGATGAGATCCTATCCTAAGTCTCTGGATTTTCTAGGACTGTCTTGGCTGACACGTCTCTGCAACATCGCGTGGCAATCGGAGTGGCAGACCGGGGTGGTGGTCCCTCTCTACAAGAAGGGGGACCAGAGGGTGTATTCCAATTATCGTGGGATCACACTCCTCAGCCTCCCCGGTAAGGTCTACTCCAAGGTTACTGGAGAGGAGACTACGACCGATGGTCGAATTTCGGATTCAGGAGGAGCAGTGTGGTTTTGTCCCTGTCGTGGAACACTGGACCAGCTTTATTATTATTATTATTATTAACGTTTATTAAGAGGAATAACCCCTTGACATGAATCATCTCGTTTCCAAGGGGGTCCTCAAAATCTAATTAAAAAATAACAGTACAGCAGCAACAGTCAAGTATAAACAAAACAAAATGATTACGTTAAACAAAAAAAAAGAAAACAGGACAAAAGCTCAACACATTCACTCACACACACACTCAGCTCTCAGAGGTTACCCCACTGTAGGTTAACTACAGTAAAGAACAATACAAAATAAATACATTATAATACTGATGGAGAATCACAACACAAATATAATACAACAGAAGACACATCAAAAGCAATTACAGACAGCTCTGTACTCTCCATCGGATACTCGAGGGTTCATGGGAGTACGCCCAAACTGTTCACATGTGCTTTGTGGATTTGGCGAAGGCGTTCGACCGTGTTCCCCGGGGTGTCCTTTGGGGGTTCTCCAGGAGTGCAGGGTCCTCTGCTGAGGGTAGTCGGGAAAAACTCCCGAGGTACAGTGACATCATAGGGTGGTATTAACAGTTTTGCAAAACATGTCTGCTATGTGGGACTAATACTTTTATACAAAAGAGAAACCCAAGTATGTCTCAGCACCTGCTGTTCACAGACAATTGTCCCTGCTTCACATGTTCGACAATTGACAATATTCCCACTATATACTATAACTAACTTGGCAATGAACTGCCCAGTTGTCTGATAAATAAGATATAATAGAAGTTGCATGGGCCAGGGCACAGGTGACTAACACAAGGCCCATGGCCCAAATGTGGCCTGACAGAATATTTCCAGTGGCTCCTGAAATGCCTTTCAATTATTACCATTAACTTGCACAATTGATGTTAGGTTGATATAGAAGAAAAAGTTAAAAAAAAGCATTTTAAAATATCCACAGAGTCATTCACTTTTACAACATACTTTAGACCTCAGAGAGGTATTATTTTAATCCGGCCCTCGACCAAAATGACTGACACCGCTGTACTGGTGCTTAGTACATGCAACTTCCATCATAACTTATTTATCAGACAACCCACACGCTGTTAATCCACAGGAAACACTGGCAGACTTCACAAGGGAAACGCTCCAAAACACAACTGTAAAAGAAAATTCCCCCTGTGCCCAGTCTGCCGTTGGAAACAGATTGATGCGGCACTCGAGGCGTGAAGCGTTGGTTCTCAGCGCCCTTCCAGTGGTACCATCTGTGCCGAGTCCCTGCGTCAGACCACTCAAAACGGACTGGTGTTTGGGTCCTCCAGCACCTCCAAGCCTCGTGATGAATGTCCACACGAAAGCCGACTGAAGAGCCCTCCTCTCAACAGCACTGTTGTACTCTGAAAGGCCATCTCTGTGAAAGTGATACCAGGACAGCTATATTTAGAGGATAAAAGATGATGTAACCGTATCATCCAGAAGTTATCAGTGGGAACAAAACAAGAACGCTTTGTTCAAAGTAAATAGTAAAAAATCCACTTCAGAAACTGGTGAGAACCGTTAAAATCATCATTTTTTCTTTCATCCATGTAAAAAATGATGATTTTCACTATATGATGTTGTAAACAGGGTAATTTGTGGCCTTAAAAAAGCCTTCAAATGAGTTTTGAACATTTTCCCTCTCTTTACATCTGTGCCTTTCACATTGCCTTCTTGAGTTGGGAAATGTTAAGTGCATTTTCCTCCTTTCAATGGTCCTTCCCACTGTGTACTGGCTGACCGCCCTGACTGACCCATCGAGTGCGAGATGTACCCACTCTTCACCCATGGGTTTGTGGTTCCATGTTCTCTTGTTTCTGTATCTATCTTGCAACTGTCTTTTTCATGTCATTAAATGTCCTCTTTTATTCTATTCAATTTGGTTTATGCCGAATATAGCGTCAGAACTAGCTCTACAGCTAACGGCTTTATTTGGCTCTTCCTGAAGTCTCTTTTTCCATTTTATATTGTATGTAAATCAATATATATTTTCTACTTGAGAAATCACATAAAGGATTTTAAAATCCGTTTGACCAAAACAAGGCTAAAACCATGCCAAACAATTCCGTGTGACATGGAACCTATTCTTAGCATGTTCGAGTCCAGGTATTAACCGATTACTAAATTATTGAAACTATTGTGATAAATTAATTTGCTAATATGAATAGAAAAGGACTGCACACCGAGTCACCTTTAGGGTAAGTATTGCACTTTTGAAGTATAATTTGAATAACTTATTTATTGCAATTTTTGTGCTATTGAAAATAATTGAATGTTTTCCGTTCAGAAAGATGAATTTTGCTCGGAGAAGTACAAGGCCAAAAGTATTATATGAGGAATAGATTTGATTTTCTGATATTCCTTTCCGTGTTCGCTCCTTTGATCTCTCCTGTCTGACCTTTTTCTAAGCGTCAGACTTTATCGAGAAGTCAAGTAAACAACTCGAGCAATGAAGTGTTTTTTGGAGCCAACTCTTGAGTGGAGTTTCTCACTAACATTCAAAAACTACTTTTGTAACGTGATTTTCAAAACTTTGAAAATCATGAAATGTGGGTGTGCAATGTTATGGTCATACAGTAAGTTTTCATCAGCAGCCAATCCAGGTCAGGACGCGTAGGTGTAGGCAGCTCCCTTAATGCATTATAACTACAGTATATAATGGTGTGTGTCTTTTTTCTTTTCAATATAATTCCAATACTAATTATGGTCTGCCTCTGGTGAGTCACAGCAGTAACACAGAAACCAGTCTTAGAGCTGTTTGATTTGAAAATGATACAGAGAAAATATTTCATGTAAGAAAGTGGTGATGAGTCCCAATACTAAAGAACATATAAATATTAGCCACGTTTCAACATTATCCCCTCATCAACACTCACCTGAAGTTGTTTTAGCACAGAAATGTCCCCCCCACCCCTCTGAAAAAATGCTATATTTAAAAATTTGCTTCAACTGTGACGTGGTGCAGAGAGTTGTTGTTTTTTTTTTTTTCTTTTACATCCTTTTTAATTTATAACTACAGCAGTCTCTGAGGACTGTGGCACCGTGGCACTAAAAAGGTCGGAGATCGCTGGTCTAAATGACCCAGGGCTGGTCAAGTTCAGCTAAAAAAAATATTATTTTAATCACTGTGGCTGGGGCTTTTACCTGATTGTCCACTCTTCTTTTACCACGCCTCTGGAGTTATAGTGAGACAAAAAGTGTGAAAAATGGGTGGAGAGATGGAGGACAAAGATGCTACAGAAGCTAACAGTGAGAGGCCAGTCAAGACAAAAAGAAAATGGTCTACCAGCTTTAGCCTTGACGAAGCATGATTTATATGCAATTTGGCTATTGTCAAATAGCCAAATTGTGTTCAGAGAAAATTATGTTTTCTTGAATTATGTTGAATTATGTCACAACTCAAACACAGGGCAACTCAAAGCTGAACAAAACAAGATAATACAATACAAGACAATACAATCATAAATAATCACAGTAAGATAAAAATATAAAAGCTGTTTTGAGCCACAGGAAGCCAGTGCAGAGACCTGAGGACCGGACTAATGTGGTTGTACTTCCTGGTTCTAGTCAGGACTCGAGCTGCTGCATTTTGAATGTACTGCAGCTGTTTTACAGCCTGTTTGGACAGACCTGTGAGCAGGCCATTGCAGTAGTCTAACCTACTGGAGACAAATGCATGGATAAGAATCTCCAAGGGTGCTTTAGACACTATGTTTATAATCCTGACAATGTTTTTTAGGTGGTAGAAAGCTGATGATGTTACTGATTTTATGTGGCTATTAAATAAATCAGAATAGTCACTGTCTTGATAAACTAAATTACATCCAGATCAAGCTTAAACCTAGTAGTGTACTATGTGTGTGTGCTCAGTTATGTCAGTTACATGTCCTTCTATATATTTGTTTAAGCACAATCAAAGCACACACCACTGTCGAAGCATTTAGATGAGCTATTCCTTGTCAGAGATGTCAGGAGAATGTAAGGTGCAGTGACAAACTTAACAAAATCATATTCATTAAAATACATTTTTTTCTTAAAATTCCCCATTCCACTACTGCCCCAAGGTGTCTACAACCAAAAACTGTTTTGAAATGAGCCAAAAAATAATAAAGACTAGACATGTAAAGCAATGTAAAGCAACCGACCGAACACATAACTAGCAACCCCTGTTTTCTTCACGGACACAGACTGGGCACATGTGACTGAAAGAAACTGTAACGAAGCTAATAGAATTTTCTGTTTATTTTGGAACACACTTTATTCAACATGTTTTAAGAAAAGATAAGATAAGGTAAGATAGACTTTAATGATCTCACCCTGGAAAAATGTACATGTCACATTTGACATTGATAGAATCACTCAGATTGTGCAAAAAACAGAAGTATGAAGTATTGATATGAGGGGAAACATCAGTATTATTTATTAAAGAAAATAGTTATTGAAACCACAGCTTTAAAAGCCTTCTTGGTTCAGACTTGTGCAGACTCAGTCCTGGTTCAGGTCATCTTTAGCTTGGAACATCTGTTGCTAGGGTCGTCTGTTGCTATGTGCATCTTTTAAAACAGTGCATCTTTTGAACCAGAGCACATTTGATAAACTTTGGCTGTGACACAAATTGTTTTTGTCAAACTTCATTCGAGGATTTCTTACACCAGGAGACATCACTGCTGACCAGTGACACTCAGGCCGCTGCTGACCACCTGCTGACACCTGCTGACCCCTTCTGTCCGGACTGTGAGACTGTTGACCACAAAACGTGAGCTTTTCCACTTTCCCTGTTCTGTCCCTGTGTGTTTGGCCTGTTACTCAGACACACAGTGACTTGGATCAAAGTTAAATCAGGTTTATGTGACTTTAGACACACGAGGAAAAACATTTAACAACATTTATTCACATCTACTTACATTTATGGACTTTGGTCGTCCGCCCCTTATGGACCAATGGTTCTATGTGTTTTTTGTCATTGCATTTGCTGTGTTTGCACTGTTTGATTCTCTGATCTGTGTTGGCCAATCCACAACTGTGTAAAGTCCTCAGAGATAACTACTGTTGTGATTTAGGGAGAAACAAAAACACATTGAAGGGAAATGAATTGAGTATTAGTGATGTTGTGCTGTCAGCTCCTGCAGGTGCATCATAAAGTATCAATGAAACAATAATGAACCAAAGTGTAAAGTACATGAAACCACAGCGCTGCAGCTGGAACAACCCATTGCACTCATTTAAAGCTGGGATACCTAACTTTCAAACCACAAAATATGGACCTATGCAATAAAATCTAAGTTCCTGTCTCTAAAACAGTTTGGTACCATCACTAGTTTTCACATGCATGTTTTCTTGGCCTCTGTCACAACTTTAGATCAGCTTTTTCAGACAGTAATGTGAAAAGATAGACCAATGAGCTCTCAGCCTTGAGAGTCAAATAGTGACTGAAGGGGTTCTTTCTTACAAGTATGAGCCTTATTATAAGATGTATATAAAACAGCATGTTTTGGTCTGAACAAATTGTCTGTTGGGAAGGGATTAGTTATGAAACAAACAAAAGTATAGGTACCCCATCTTTTAACGTAACTTTTCTAACATACAGTATTATTACACACAAGATGAAAACTTCTGATAGAAATTTACTGTTTTGAGAGTGAGGATCTCAATATATGGACATACATAGTGTCTTTTATTGAGTTTTGAATGTTAGGTACCCCAGCTTTAACTCATGGGTTAGATCTACAGGTTTTTTATGAATCCAGACTCTTAAACTGAGCTGAATCCTGTACTCAATGTGTTTTGACAGTAAATGGTTGAATAAAAAGGTTCTGAATAAGTGAATATATTCTCATATATCTAGGGAATCTCTGTTGTGTGAAATGTTTGCAGTGATGTTTGACATGTCCTGTTCCTCCACAGATCCTTGGGCTCCTTCTCCATAAAAACCTGTGGACAGGACTCTGCCTTTAAGCTAAGTCCTCACTCTCTGACACTATGCCTGGCTCCTCTGCTAGCTTCTCTCTGTCCGGGAGGACCTCTCTCTACTCCTCTTCTTCTCTCTCCCCTCGCCCTTCTGTTCCTCCTCCTCCTCCTCCTCCTCCTTCTCCTCCTCCTGCTAAGGGTAAGTCTAAGTCTAAGTCTCGCTCTGCTCCCAAGCGCCCTAAACCTTACTCTGCTCCTGCTGTTCCGCGCTTGGTCCCTGTGTCTTGGCTCCGCACTGTTCACCCTGGCAGGATCCTCTCTCGTCCTCCTCCCTCTGCTTATTCTACTCCTTCTCAGCGCTCCTCTCGCTCTCCTCCTCGTCCTCCTCCTCGCTCTGCTCCTCCTATGCCCTCCTCTGCCCCTCCTCCTCCCGGGCGTCTTCAGCTCACCTCTCTGACTGACTCTTGGTTCGCTCCTCTTCCGTGCGTCCGGAAAGTTCCCAGACTAGAGCTGAAACAACTAATCGATTTAATCGATTAAAATCGATTATTAAAATAGTTGTCAACTAATTTAGTCATCGATTAGTTGCTAAATAACTTTTATTTTGCCGTAAGCGGCTCATTTCGTGCATATTTTAACTCTGCGGTGACCAAATGGTGGCAGTAATGAGCCACCGGAGGTTTTACAGCAGGAGAAGTAGCGAATAGCCAATAGCTGGCCTCCTTTTATGTCACATGCTTCGCGCACAGCTTCTCTTCAGCATACAGCAAGATGGCGGAGGCAAGCGGAGTAAGCTCGAGAAAAAAAAGGAAAAAAGCAGAAGACAAACCTAATCGAACGAAGTCATCCAAAGTGTGGGAGCACTTTACTTTGAACCTTCAAAAAAGAAGAGTAACCTGTAAACTCTGCGCTACTGACTTGGCCTGGCACGGGAGTACTACGTCTCTGCGTGAGCACCTTAAACCATCTCTCTGCAGTACTGACTGTTTGCAAAAGATGGCGCCACACTCACTGTTTTAGGCATAAAGTTGATCTTTCAAATAATTTGCACAAAGATGTAAAAAAAAAAAAACATTTATCAGTTTATCAACTTAAATAAGCCTTGTTCGGGATTTTAAACTACTTCAGAAGCCCTAAGGATTTTCATGGTGAAAACATTATTGGAAATCTCCTTGTGAAATTTGCTAGAGTATGTAACGGTCAGTGTTTTGTTTTGATGGTCAACATTGAGTTCACTAAAGGATTACAAAGACATAATAAACAGCTCCAGTTAAGTTTTTGATGTGGATATGAATATGTAAAATGGTTAAAATCTCTAAAAAGTCTATGTTGAATGATGAAGGCCCTTTGTTAACAATTTACTTGGAAAAAAATTGGCAAAACTAAAATATAAGTACATAAACCGATTAATCGATTAATCGTAAAAATAATCGCCTGATTAATCGATTATCTAAATAATCGTTAGTTGCAGCCCTATCCCAGACGCACTCCTCCTGCTAAACCTGCTAAATCTAACTCTGTCCCTATTGCCCCGCAGTCTGAGCCCACCCCTGCCATCCCTGGACCCTCCTCCGCCCGGGCAGAGTCTGAGAAGGTGCAGAAGCACAAGCGCAAAAGGTCACGTGAGCCGGACGCCAAACATCCACCCAAAAAGCACAAGTCTTGTTAAGAACTGATGCACTCTCTGCTTTGTTTCTTTTAAGGAGCAGAGAGGAACTGGGGCTCACAAGACCGTGTCCCGGTGATGGGTGATGTATGACTGTGTAAATATTTGCATAGTTGGATCCCAGTTTGATCCCTTTAAAAAAACCACAAAAAAACCCCACAAAAAATATTACGTTTGTTGTTGTTATCTTTTGAAGGATTCACGTTTGATCCTTTATATAGGCATTTTATTGTTAATATTGTTGTGTTACCGTTGTCAATCCCGTTGGATTCCTTAAAAAAAAAAAAAAAACATATATATTGTTTTGTACCATAAATGGACAGGTTCTGTGTGTTACTGTATTATTTTTGTTGTGTTGCAAGTGGTCAGATTTCTGTTCGATCCCTTTAAAAAACACAAAAGAGACTTTAACCAGTCAAGATGCAGAAACTGCTGCCAGTGGTTAGAAATTAGAACAGGAGCCTCTGAAGACACAACATTAGGCTGTTTTTATCCATCTCAGCACGTCCAATATACTCTACACCCAGTGGCTACACCACCTCTGCTGCTGTGATCTGTCCTCCTCCACCCAGCGGCTGCACCACCTCTGCTGCTGTGACCTGTCCTCCTCCACCCAGCGGTTACACCACCTCTGCTGCTGTGACCTGTCCACCTCGACCCAGCAGCTGCCCCACCTCTGCTGCTGTGACCTGTCCTCCTCCACCCAGTAGCTACACCACCTCTGCTGCTGTGATCTGTCCTCCTCCACCCAGCGGTTACACCACCTCTGCTGCGGTGACCTGTCGTCCTCCACCCAGCGGTTACACCACCTCTGCTGCTGTGACCTGTCCTCCTCCACCCAGCGGTTACACCACCTCTGCTGCTGTGACCTGTCCACCTCCACCCAGCAGCTGCCCCACCTCTGCTGCTGTGACCTGTCCTCCTCCACCCAGCGGCTGCACCACCTCTGCTGCTGTGACCTGTCCTGAGCCACCCAGTAGCTACACCACCTCTGCTGCTGTGATCTGTCCTCCTCCACTCAGCGGCTACACCACCTCTTCTGCTGTGACCTGTCCTCCTCCACCCAGCGGCTGCCCCACCTCTGCTGCTGTGACCTGTCCTCCTCCACCCAGCGGCTACACCACCTGTGCTGCTGTGACCTGTCCTCCTCCACCCAGTGGTTACACCACCTCTGCTGCTGTGACCTGTCCTCCTCCACCCAGCAGCTGCACCACCTCTGCTAATGTGACCTGTCCTGAGCCACCCAGTAGCTACACCACCTCTGCTAATGTGATCTGTCCTCCTCCACCCAGCGGCTACACCACCTCTGCTGCTGTGACCTGTCCTCCTCCACCCAGTGGTTACACCACCTGTGCTGCTGTGATCTGTCCTCCTCCACCCAGTAGCTACACCCCCTCTGCTGCTGTGACCTGTCCTCCTCCACCAAGGGGCTGCACCACCTCTGCTGCTGTGACCTGTCCTCCTCCACCCAGCGGCTGCACCACCTCTGCTGCTGTGACCTGTCCTCCTCCACCCAGTGGTTACACCACCTGTGCTGCTGTGACCTGTCCTCCTCCACCCAGTAGCTGCACCACCTCTGCTGCTGTGACCTGCACTACTTCACCCAGCGGCTACTCCACCTCTGCTGCTGTGACCCAGAGTGCTGTTGCATATTAATGACTTTGTTTGCCAATTTTAGAACTGTGTATGTGTCTTTTTATGGATGGATGTGTCTATCTATCTATAGCTTTGATTCACAGGTTTGCTCTGTAGGGATGAAAAAGTAAGTATACAGGAGGTTAAATACCTCTAGTAACTGTCACATTACTTTATGAGACTTTCTCTGTTTTAGATAAAAAGGAGAAATAAAACATTGAAAATGGCCCAATCAGGAAACTGTGCAGGTATAGTATAAAGTTGTCTGCACATGTGATGAAGCACAGTACATTCATTTGTTTGTTTTTAATGAGCAGAGAGGAGGAACAGATGAGTTCAGACAGTGGAGAGACGGAGTGGAGGAGGAGGGTTATATCCATGTGTTCAAATCAAAAACCAGGTAAATCATTGTGTGAACATTCCATTTGTCCCTTGAAGTGTGCGTCACTTCTTGTATTATCGTATTATTTATAGGACACAGCAGTGATCAGAGCAGATTCATGTCAGATGCCATTTATGTCAAAGCAGATGCCACAAATGCTTCTAGTTGTTGCAACAGGTGCCACAGATGAGCTGTAGCTCTAGCAGCGGCCGCCACAAAAATGAGTCTGTCATTTCTGTATCCCAGCGTGTCCAAGTTTCTTATATAAAATATAATATGTACTGCCTGTATGTGGTATTCAACTTTGATTCACAGGTTTCTTCCATCCATGTTTTCTCATTGAGCTTAAAAAGAGGAACAAGGACAAACAATGTGAGTATAGTTTAAGTCAGGTTGTTATCACATTACTTTACAAGACTGCTTTGTTTTAGATGAATGTGATGAAGAGCTGATAATTCATGTGTCTGTCATTTTTTGACCAGTGAGGAGTTCAGACAGTGGAGAGGCAGAGTGGAGGAGGAGGGTATACACGTGTTCACATTGAATACAGGTAAAGTGTATGAACATTCCTTGTGTCCCTCCTCCAACTTCAATGCATTGTTGTCTTATTCAGGACAGATAGCAGTGTCCAGGTGTCACAAAAATATAAAAATAAACATTACAGAGAAGATGCCACAGAGCAGAACCAATTCTTATGCAGAGGGAAAACTAGAAGATAAAACAACATGGAAAGGACCATGTGAGACTGACAGAAGTGACCAGAGCCATGTAAGACAGTGGAGAGACAGAGTGGAGGAGGAGGGTTCAGTCCATGTGTCTATATCACATACAGGTAAATCATAAATCATGTGCAGTTTTGTGTGTCCCTCCTCTTCATTGTACATATGTAATCCTTCATTAGGACACATTAGATGCCAGCCAAAGTCCAAGAATTAAAGCCAGATGACAGACCAGATGTTGGAGAATATGAAAGATCCCTGACCAGAATCAAGACACATGCAATTTCAGATGCTACATATCTGACAGATGCCAGAACAGACTCTACATAGGTGACATATGCTATAACAGATTCCAGTCGAACCAAAAAAGACCATATGCAAGAACTGGTGTTGGACCAGATGCCAGAAAAAGTCAGATATCAGAGGCACCAAATGCCAGAAAGAAGACCAGATGTTAATTAAAATATTTACCCCCTCAGAGGTGAAAATTTACTGGACTAGATGTTACAAGAAATGACAAATGCCGGCCCAGACCTCACAAACCAGCTGTGAGACAGATGGATGTGACCAGAACAGTGTGAGACAGTGGAGAGACAGCGTGGAGGAGGAGGGTTATATCCATGTGTTCACATCAAATACAGGTAAATCACCATGTGTGCCGTTTTGTGTGTCCCTCATCTTCTTCATTGCCGTTTGGTCTAATTCATAGGACACAGCAGATGCCAGAACAGGTCCCGGAAAAATGCCTGACCGAATGGTGCAAAACATAAAAAAACAGATGAAGCAAAACAGATGCCGGTCCGAACATCATAAAAAAGGCCAGATTGAAAACCAGATGCCAGGAAAATTGGATGCAAGACCTACTTTTAGAAATATATGCCAGTAAAAAGTCCAATACCGGAGAAGTTCCCCCAATTACCAGAAGGAAGAACTGCTGTTACCTAAAACTGTTTCCAGACCAGAGTCCACAAGTAGATCAGATGAAAAACCAGATGTTACAAGAAATGACAAATGCCGGCCCAGACGTCACAAACCAGCTGTGAGACAGATGGAAGTGACCAGAGCAGTGTGAGACAGTGGAGAGACAGAGTGGAGGAGGAGGGTTGTCTCCATGTGTTCTCATCAAATACAGGTAAATCATCATATGGACTTATTCATGTGTTGCTCCTCCCTCTTCATTGCATTTTTGTCTTAATCATCAGGAAACAAAAGATAAAAGACCAGGGCCCAGAAAAATGCCGGACCAGTTGCTGCAAAACTTGAAAGATGCCAGACCAGATGACACTAGAGATCCAGAGGGCTGCTTGGTGGCTGAGTGGACAGCAAGAAGGTCCTGGGTTCAAACCCTGCTTGGCCTTTCTGAGTGGAGTCGGTACAAGTGTCCTCCGGGTGCTCCAGTTTGCCCTGCACTAAAAATATGTCCTAACCAAGTCGAGCTTCAACATCTGAGCCACTTTTCAACAACTTTGACCGTTGTTTTAATTATTTTAATAAAGCAAACATATAAACTTGATTTTCTTCTCTTATTTTCTTGGGGCAGGGACAAAGTAATGTAACTAATGTAATATACATTTTCAAAGAAACTTATCCAACACTGGTGTTTATAAAATATTGGTTCAAATCCACAGTTTCTAAAACATGTCCATGTGGGAGACTGACAAATGATTTCTTTGAACCAGATCTAACTTGTGATGCAACACTGACATTTCCTCACTGTCGAACGAATAAAAGATCTCTTTCTTTCTTTCAATTGTTTAAACAGTTTTATGAGTTTTACAGTACATGTGCATCATATTAATAATGTAAAAATATTATATTCACGTCTGCTGCTGTGACCTGAAGGGCTGCTGCTGATTATTACTATTGTTTGCTTTTTAGAATGATACATTTTATTGTTTTACTTTTGCTGCTACTGGACAACTGAATTTCTCCTACGGGGATCAATCTATCTATTTATCAAATACCAATCACATGTTTTAACAGAAACAATAATACAGTAGGAACAAAACAGAACAATATTTTAGCTAGATTTAACCATCACGTCCCAAGAGCCAGATGTTGTGTGTGTGGACTGGGTCGCCGAGGTCTCCGCCTTCGACTGCTGCCCAGTCCTCTTAGCACCGCGCCACCACGGACCCCTCTGCAGGTGGTGGGCCCACAGGAGGGACTGCCCACGCCGTCCCTTCAGGCTGAGCCCGGCCGGGCCCCGTGGGCTAAGGCCCGGCCACCAGGCGCTCGCACACGAGCCCCAACCCCAGGCCTGGCTC